AATTTGAGATTATTTAAGTTACGAAACTTAAGTGCTAAATAGTTATCGAAAAAATTAGTTTCATCGTATATGATCGTTATAAATAAAACCGATGGCACGCCCCTAATTATAATTCGGTGATTATCAGTCATCAAATCACTGAATTTTAGTTACAAATGTGTCCCATTGATTTTAATTATAAATCTAAATTCACTTTTATACTTTGTCGATCATCTAATATATAATTTAATTTGAATTTGAATTCTGTCAATCGTCAATTATCGATCTACATCTTTAATTTAATATATATAAAAATAAGTCCTTTAAATATAATGATATTAACAGTACATATATATATATATATGTGAACAGGTAGGAATACTCTTGTAACTCACTATATATATACTATATTATGTGTAAGTATATTATACTTACCATAATAATTCTGGTATATGTATATACTCAATATACTAAACTACATTATGTGTATATGGATAATAACATAACAAATGCAGAAAAAATATATATTAGTTGAAAGAAATTTAAAATTAAAGATAAAAGAAAAGTTTTAAACAATCAATGAGATGTTTGGTATAGTCATTGCTCGAATTTAATTTCAACCAATGAAAAGCGGCCCACGTGTGGGGTGGGGGGTCTACCGCGAAAGAGAGCAAAGCCAGTGAGGACAGTTTAGCGTTAGCCGTCGTCGTGATAGGTTTCCGTTTTTTCTGTGTTCTTACGGTTTTTCACGCTAGTTATTTTTTACAGAGAAAGAAACATATGTCGCTTTCAAAATAAAAGGAAAGAGAAAATATACAAAAGACGGAGAAACAATAAACGTAATAAAAGAAAGAAAAAAACCTAACAAAATATTGTAATAAATAAATAATATATTTACTTAGAACGCGTAATATACACTTATAAAAGCCTCCTGGAGTAATGTCGGGGAACGTGTACGCATAGCGCGCGCGCGCGCGCGTGTTTAACCGCGCGAGACGAAGAGACACGTAAGTGTTGCGAGAGAGAAAACGCTTACTTCTCCTCCTTCTCTTCATCGACGTCGTCGTCGTCGTCGTCGTCGTGTTGTCATGGGTACTGTGTGTTGTGATGGGGTTTTATAAAAAAAAAAATTTAATTTCAATTTTTTCTCTCCTTTTCACCAAAATATTTTTCACTTCATGAAAAGAACCTAATCGAAATTTTATCCTAGATTACTTTTTTCTTTTTTCTTTTTCTTTTTTAAAAAAACAAAATAAGAAAGAGAAAGATTAAAACTAGTTGATAGTGTCTCTGTTTAGTAGTTTATTAGTAGTGTTACGACGTGCTTCTTCAGAGACATACATATATACATACTCGTATAACACGAGAAAGGTACAGAATAAAAACGGTTGAGAGGGAGGGAAGGAGTAAGAGAGAAAGAGAAAGAGAAGAACAAGGAAAGAGAAAGAAGAGAGAAAGAAAGAAAGAGAAGACGATAATGCGGACTTGGTGTTTCCGCCTAGTTCGACACAACTTTGTCGACAAAGACAACGACGACAACAATCCAGACGAATTTCGACGAATTTATTCGTGGTAAATAAAACTTACGTTATTTTCATTTTATCTTAAAGATCATATTTACGTATGTATGTTTATCATCGCGCTCTATAAGAAACGTGTTTTCCTTGATCGCAGTCTCTTTGTTTCTTCCTCTCTCTTTCTGTCCTCCCTACCCCCCACTTCCCCATCCTTTTCTTGTTCGATCGATCGATCAATCGAAAGAAGTGTTACGCGTCTATTTTGTTACCTAAGCGGCAAATGGTATTATTGTTAACGGTATGATATCGTTACATTCAAATCTACTACTATATTACTATTACTATTACTATTACTATTATTATTACTACTCTTTCTTTCTATCTGCGCGCATGTGTATGGTTTTTATTACAATTAAAAGCCGTGTAAGTTTCTCTATTTTATGTTTAATTTCGTTTTAGAAAATATATTCAAAAAGAGTACGAATGATGGTGTACTATGTAACATATAGTATACAACCTGTAAATGTGCAGATATAAAATTATTGGATTATCGAATAATTTGATTTTTATTTTTAATGAAGATTTATTCAATTATATTTCATTATAATTTTGTAATAAATAGATAATAATCAAATTTCAAAGTTAAAATAAAATGGAAAGTATTATAACACGTTATATATAAAAAACAATATTGAACTTGGCTTGTGTAGAATGTTATTATAAGATAACATATGCATGTATATAGTTGTGCGAATCCTTAGAAAGTATTAGATAAGAAAAACCTTAGAATTACCTTTTGTGTAACATTAAATCTTGAAAGATACGACGACAAGAGAATGAAGTCTAACAATGTCATTCTAAGTTAGAGATACTTTTTATTTTCTTTTTTTTTTTTTTTTTTTTTTTTTTTTTTTAAATCGTCGATAAAAAGTTATAGAATTGTAATTAATAGATTGATGGATTTGACAATGTTAATCGCGTTATCTTATCTTTATACGTGACACATATAGACAATATATATAACTTCGTTCTTGGTAGTATAACGGTAAGTTATTCGATTACGTTGCCATCTTTGTTAAATTGTAAAAAAAAAAAAACAAAAAATAAAATATAATAAAAATGTCAGAAATTCTTTAGTTTAATCAACAATTTTTTTCGCGCGATTTTATTAATAAATTAATTTTTCTTGAATATTTTTAAACTTGTATTGTTAGACTTTCCGAGTTTTAGAATCTAAATAATAAAGACATTTTTGGAAATAATTTAATAATTCTTGCATTTTTTCATTTTTTATTTACATTTGAAAATTCCAAAATTCAATTATTTATTTTTAACAAGAAAGAAAAAGAGAGAGAGGGAGAACAACGAATAAACGAGCGTAGGTGTGCCGTGTCATGTTGCATCCAGTTTGAGATGAAGGAGAGACGAAGAGAGAGAGAGAGAGAGAGAAAAAAAAAAGAAAGAAAGAAAGAAAGAGAGGAGAGTGGTTGCCTGCTGCGACTATAAAGCCGATCAACCAAGCCACTCTCTTGACCTGACATTTAATACCACTACACGAGTCATAGTCACCCGTTGGTCTTTCAACGAGGAAGAGAACAAAGAGAATTTGCAGTCCTACGTATGAAAATGTCTGTTTATTTATCGAATTTTCATTTACTGTTAATTGATATCTTTACAAAATAGCATTTTCATTTCTTTTCTTTTCTTTCCCCTAACAAAAAGAAATAAAATAAAATATATGGGAATTGATATATGATAGATAAACTAATTTTTCTTTTCATTTATAATCAGATGAATATATCTGTAATTTTTATTTATCATTTCATAAAAAAAAAAAAACCCAGATTAGCGATAACAAATTGTAATGATGTTTATTAAATTTGTTG